TAACTAGATGTGACTGTCAGAATAAGAAAATACAAAAAATGCTCTGTCATGAACCCAATTTTCTGTCGGCAGGCTAGGGAACAAGACCAGAAATTAATCTAGTATTTAATCAGGAAAATCCTTGAAGAAAAGTTCAAAAGAATCAATCAAAACGAGTATAGCACAGTAACTGATGCCCAATTCACTGGTAAACCAAACTAAACATGCTTACATTGAGAACTTTTGTGAAGCATCGCGTATCCATTCGCTGATCGAAACAGTCAAGTCCTGAACGAAATTCGAAAGCTTCTGCATGTGTAATAATTCTTCAAATGAAAGGGCAGAAAAATAGAAAACAACCATGAAAAGATGCTCAACCAAAAATGGCTATTTTCTCACAAAAAGACTTCTTGATCAGCTTGTGCCAGTATGATAGACAAGATATCGTTTAACGAATGCTGTTTCCCATCATCCGGAGATTGGGATCCGTAGGTAATCTGCTATACTGCCTTTAGATAACCTTTTTTATTGTTCTAGGCAATTTCTCCAATTTTCTTATCTCACTTCACTACAACAGCAGCTTACTAGGCCTAATCTCTCAAAAAAAGATGCAAGCGCTAGTCTTGCTCTGCTTGCCCTCCACTTCCGAGTGCAGAACACTACGGTCGAACCTATTCAACTGAGAGAAGAGCTCATGGTTCTTCCAAACTCTCCGACTTCAAGTAACTACAATGTAACTTCGAAACTAAACTGTAATCCCTTTGCATGTTGCCAATCCTTCTATTTTAGACAAGATATCGTTTAACGAATGCTGTTTCCCATCATCCGGAGATTGGGATCCGTAGGTAATCTGCTATACTGCCTTTAGATAACCTTTTTTATTGTTCTAGGCAATTTCTCCAATTTTCTTATCTCACTTCACTACAACAGCAGCTTACTAGGCCTAATCTCTCAAAAAAAGATGCAAGCGCTAGTCTTGCTCTGCTTGCCCTCCACTTCCGAGTGCAGAACACTACGGTCGAACCTATTCAACTGAGAGAAGAGCTCATGGTTCTTCCAAACTCTCCGACTTCAAGTAACTACAATGTAACTTCGAAACTAAACTGTAATCCCTTTGCATGTTGCCAATCCTTCTATTTTAAAAATACGGTTGAAAACGTAACAAAAAGTTTTAAATAAAGATAACCATTCATTAGTGATCACGTTTCCTGGGAAATACTAAAAATAATCGGACTGATCACAAAAAATTCCCAACTAGACTTGCTAAACGTAGAAAAAAGACTGACCTACAGCACTTGTTGACGCGATGTGGTGACGATATTTACCATGACTGGTTTGAAAGGATTAAAAATGGCTGATGTAGGGAGAAAGGAGTAAGCAACCTCACTGAATAAAATTCGCCTTGAATGTCAGCTTGAGAGACGCAAGAATTAAAGAGATGTTCGAAAAAAAACTTACCGTTATGAGAGGATAGCAGCACTTTCTCAGGAACCCACTGACGATGTCTCACTGATTCATCGGAAATAAGATAACGTAGATTTGATGTTCAGGATCATTGCTCATCTGCAATCATAGGAATCGAGAAACTGAACACGACCATTTCCGATATTGTAGAGAGTACTGCGGCCAAGTTCGCAACCGTGGAGAGATTATAAGTATGAACAGGAGTTTCTTTTATGAGTCGCCCATATTTAGCAACCTGAAAATGGCCCTACTACAGTCAGTAAAAACGACACTCAATTCAGCCTGGTAATTGAATACTGACGGCAATGACCAAAGGATCAAAACACCCCCAAACGAAGTACATATACAAACTATTCGTCCCCTTCTGTCTTGCAGAAAATCCTGATACTCAGGAGATCCTACTTATAT